AAAATTAAATACTCTCTACAGTTAGAATGTTTACACCAATTCTACCAAGTTTTTCATATTCTAATCATAACATTTTTTAAAAAGTTAACAACCAATCTTTCTTCAGGGCATCTGTAAAATTAATTCTTGCTTCTTCCTCCCTTTACCATGCTGGTCACCTCCTCCTTCCTGCAGTTCTCTCCTCCCTGGATTCAGGGCTCTTGTCCCACTTCTCTGATGGCAATGTTCCTGCCTCACCTTCCCCATCGCTCCCATGACACCCTTCGAGTACACTGTGTCCTCACCTCTCCTCCCATCCCCTGCGGGGCCCCCTCTCTGTAACACGGGGCTCCCTCCAGAACTCAGCCGGTGTCTCAGCCTCTACCAGCTCCCTGCCACCAGGACATGGGGACTGACACAATCTTTCCGATCTTGAAGGTGCATGAGAGGCACGAAGCTACCAAGTGCCTTTGTTTCAGGCTCTGGCTGCCCCGACGGACGGCAGGTGAAAGCCCTGAACCGCTGACCTTCCTTCTTTACCAGCGGGGCACTTCCAAACACCACCTCTGCTGAGGGTTACCTGGTGACTATGCATTCACGCACAGCCTTAGACATCACGCACTTGCCTTCTAAATGCAGCCTACCAGACTCTTACAGGCTGGGGGTAAGGATGTGAAGAAATATGTTTAAAGTGGGAGCCGACTTCCAGCACTGCCATTCTCTCAAATGATCTGACTCTCAGTTGCAAGATATCAAATAAACTGTTTCCCCTTTGACCTAGCAATTCCGCTTTGGAAAATTAACTTTTTATTTAAAGACAGTCTCACCCTGTGGCCCAGGCTGGAGTGCAGTGGCATCTCAGCTCACTGCAACCTCCAACTCCCGGGTTCAAGCGATTCTCGTGTCTCAGCCTCTCGAGTAGCTGGCATTACAGGTGCACACCTCCACACCCAACTAATTTTTTGTATTTTAGTAGAGACAGGGTTTTGCCATGTTGGCCAGACTGGTCTCAAACTCCTGGGCTTAAGTGATCCAGCCTCCCAAAGTACAGGGATTACAGGCGTGAGCCACTGCGCCCAGCCACAGGAAATATAAGAAAACGAAACAAAAGCATGTATGTTCATAGCAGCACTCTTTTTAACAGCCAAAAGCAATACAAATAACAACTGGGAAAAGGCTGGAACTGCTAAACAGTCCCACACGGTGGGAGACTACCCAATGATGAGAAAGACACATCAGTAGAAAATAGGAAGACAGCGACCTCAGTGAAAATGTTCCCCAAGGACCTCACACCATTCCTCTGACTCATGCCTAAGAGACAAGGGAAGGCTCTGTTCACTCAACAAATGACAAAGTTCAGCCTCTTTTCAGATAAACGCCCCAGCCCAAAGGTGGCTTCTGACTTCCAATCCAAATCTTTAGTCACTAGTTCCATTCCATTTCACAAAAGGAAGATGCATGGGTGTGACAGGAGGTTAAAGAGGAAGGGAAGCCACAATGACAGACAAATGCTATAATTCATATCTCATTGACTTAAAAAGTATGTATATGTAAATTTTTTTTCAAAAAAAGAAATCCAGGCCGGGTGTGGTGGCTCACACCTATAATCCCAGTACTTTGGGAGGCCAAAGAGGGCGGATCACCTGAGGTCAGGAGTTCGATACCAGCTTGGCCAACGAAACCCCATTCTACTAAAAATACAAAAATTAGCCAGGCACGGTGGTGGGTGTCTGTAATCCCAGCTACTCAGGAGGCTGAGGCAGGAGAGTCACTTGACCCCAGGAGGTGGAGGTTGCAGTGAGACGAGATCACACCACTGCACTCCAGCTTGTGCGACAAGAGTAAAATTCTGTTTCAAAAAAAAAAAAAATAAAAAACCCAGCAAGTTCTTTTTAAAAACCACCAGAAATACTGCTATGGTTTGAATGTTTGTCAAACATTCATGTTGAAATTGATTTGCCCTTGTAACAGTATTAAGAGGTGAGAACTTGAAGAAGTGATTAGGCCTGAGGGCCCCACCCTCTTGGATGGGCTTAATGCCTTCTTAAAAGGGCTTTCCGGCCAGGTGCAGTGGCTCACATCTGTAATTCTAACACTTTGGGAGGCAGAGGCAGGAGGATTGCTTGAGCTCAGGAGTTTGAGACCAGCCTGGGCAACACAGAGAAACCTCATCTCTACTAAAAATAGAAAAAAAAAAAAAAGAAAAAAACACTAGTCAGGTGTGGTGGTGCACAGCTGAGTCCCAGCCACTAGGAGGGCTGAGATGGGAGAATTGCTTGAGCCCAGGAGATCAAGGCCGCACTCTGCTATGACCACACCACTGCACTCCAGCCTAGGCGACAGTGTGACCCTGTCTCCAAAAAAAAAAAAAAAGAAAAAACAAAGGAGGGGTGGGGGCAGGGGGCTTTGGCAGGGGTTCTTTCTCTCCCCTTGACCTCCTGCCCTCCACCATGGGAAGATGCAGTAAGAGGGCCCTTGCCAGATGCTGGCACCTTGATCTTAGTGTTCCAGCCTCCAGCATAGTGAGCAAATATATTTCTATTCATTATAAACTACCCAGTCTGTGGTGTTCTGTTATAGCAGCACAAAACAGACTAAGACAAACACCGTCTAATTAGCCAGACTTCAGAAAAGCACCACATTGGAAAACGAAATAGAAAAATCTGCTCTTGGAGTGTTAAACTGCCAAACAGCAGCCCACCACGGGACACTCCACAGGTGATCTGCACAAAAAGCAGAGAGAACAGGGGTGGAACAGGTGCTGACCATGGACGCCGGTGACAGGTGCATGGTTCATATGCTCTTCTCTCTACTTCACGTATGTTAGAACATTTCCACTGTAACAAATGCTGGTAAAAGCAGTGCTAACTGGCAAAGGTTATCACAAGACTACAATTCGTCTAGGATAACTGTTCACATCAAAATTAGGTCAGCTTTACTTAAATTCCTTCATCAGATTCAGGAAAAGGAAACAGCCAGTCATCCTAACACACACACAAATGAATAGACTGTCTTGTATGCTAAACCACAGTGAGTTGTGAAAATGGGCAAAAATGTCCAGAGAGAATGGTGATTAGAAGCACCCACAATGGAGACAGCCGACGCAAGACAGTACGTGCGGCAAATAGCGACAGCGTTTCATCAGAACGGCTTCTTTAGGAAAAGTCTTCCTCACCAGCAGGTAAAGCCAAAGGACCCACCAAAGCTCTTCCGGTAGAAGTGATGTGCGGGGCACTGGCCCCCGGCCATCAGGGAGAGCCTGAGGAGGCGCCTCCAATGTCTCACCTACCTGTACAACTTCATCCACTGTGTCTTCCCAAAGCCTGCCGGGCGCCACACTCCAGGTGCGGGCCACACTCCAGGTGCGGGCCACACTCCAGGTGCGGGCCACACTCCAGGTGCGGGCCACACTCCAGGTGCGGGCCACACTCCAGTGGGGCCTCGGCCTGCACGGGAAAGAGACTTCTGCTACCCGCCACAAACGCGCAGGCCATTCCCACCTGGCAGGGGGACTTGCCCGGAGATAGCTGACGTCAGAGCCCTGCTACCCGCCACAAACGCGCAGGCCATTCCCACCTGGCAGGGGGACTTGCCCGGAGATAGCTGACGTCAGAGCCCTGGGAGCAGTCCTGCCCCTGAAGGTCTGTGCAACCTCAAGATGCGATCACCTTAACCTCTTGACTCTTCTTCAAGATGGGGACACATCCAGTGAACCTGAGTGGAGAGCCACCTACAAAATCAAAGTCCTATAATCCTTGACACTGCCAAGGACATGAGACAGGGAACCACGGAAGACTGAAGGAGACCGAGGAGACAACAGGACTCTGGAATGGGTTCTGGGACAGAAAAGAAAGAGGTGCTGGGGGACAGGGACAACACCCGTGGGTTGACATCCATGTTACCCACACCAGCACACTGCATCGATGTCCGGTTCCTGACTGGGAGGGCTGGGAGGGCTGTGCGGGCCTCGAGAGCCAGTGACCTTGCTCTGAAGGCCTGCATGGCGTGTGCAGAGAGGCAGGGCGGCCTGGTGGGAAAAGTCTAGAACAGGGAGATGATGGCCCAACGCAGCGCAACAATGGCCACGAGGAAACCCAGGGTGGCGGCAGGAGATCTCTGTACTATTCTTGTCATTCTTCTGTAGATCTCAAATCACTTCAAATACTTTTTTAACACGGAATAAAATGTGTTTAAAAAAGCACAGTAAGGTCTGCTCTGCGCAGCACACAGGGTCGTTCTGAGACTGAAATAGAAATAGATACAAAAAGTACTTTTTAAACTATAAAGACACAGACATGAAAGGCATCATTAGCACAAATATGAATATGTCCAAACAGTGGTCCTGGTTCCCTCAGTAAAGAGAAAGTCAAGTCATTTCCCTTGGAGGCTGAGGGGCCAGGGGAGGGAGTAAGATTCGAGCCAGGTGACCACAGAAGGAGGTAATGACACAAGGCCACAGAAAAGGCTTCAGCGATCACAATACACAACACTATCACAATACACAATACGATAGATGTTAACTTCCTTTACTAGGACACCAAAGATGCCCTGGTGAGCCACCACTCTTTCATGTCTCAGATTACACCCGCTGGCCACACATGGACAGTAAGATGTGAGAACTACTTGTAAAACGCAAACAAGAACCATCTTCTTTTTTTTTTTTTTTTTTTTGACAGAGTCTCTGTCACCCAGGCTGGAGTGCAGAGGCATAATCTCTGCTCACTGCAACCCTCGTCTCCCAGGGTCAAGTGATTCTCCCGCCTCAGCCTCCTGAGGGGCTGGGATCACAGGAGCCTGCCACCACACCTGGCTAATTTTTGTATTTTTAGTAGAGACAGCGTTTCACCATGTTGGTCAGGCTGGTCTCAAACTCCTGACCTCAAGTGATCCACCTGTCTTGGCCTCCCAAAGTGCTGGGATCACAGGCGTGAGCCACCGCTCCCAGCCAAGAACCACTTTCAGGAAGGGCTCAGAACACTAACCAATGGCATTATCAATAAACGTAGCTCTTCTCCACTTACCTCATTGGCTCTTTTGATGATTTTATCATCTACATCTGTAATACCCATCACCATGACTATGTTGCATCCAAAAACCTTGGTTAGGATCCTTCGAATGATATCAAATCTAACATACGAGCTGAAAGAAAAAAAGTGTCAGGATGTCTTTCATACACAAAGTCCTCAGTTATCTTTGTAAAAAATCCATTACATTTTAACATGCTGCTCCGTAACTTCCACTGTGTAACACAATGGACAGCTCAGCAGAGCAGGTACAAGGAAACTCTCTCTCACTGATGACACCAGGGCCTGGGCTGCAAGGGTTCTCAGGAGAAACTGACAAAGGTATTGCATCCATTTCAGGACACAATATTAGCATTTTTAATTTTGGAGTTAAGTGAGTTTGTCTATTTAATTGTATAAAAATCCACTCATAATACAATCTCTCAGTTAAGATAGTGTTTTCACCATTCTTGTTCATGTTCTAGAGTAATTCTAATTTGTCACTATGACAAAACAGACAGAAGCAAATACCAAATCCAAACAAGTACAATTCCACTGAAACCATATAAGATTACTCCTAAGAATGCATACACTAGTGTAGGGTATTTTAAAATGCCAGCTTATTTATATACTACACTGGGGTAACTCAGACTTGTAAAACTAAAAGGGTTTAAAATCTACTCAGCATCACAAGCATCTGTTTTCCCGTAAAAGTAACCTTAAAACTCAAGGTTACCTAATGTCACGCTCACCTCTGCTACCCATGTGGCCTCTCTAAATTTTAGTTCATAAAATTGTTTTCTCTTAGGGTGGTGTGCGGGAATCCTAGCCATGTTATTGTATCACTTTCACCTCCCACACGCCCCCTCCCCAAACACAGCTGAGACCAAATCTTGATTCCAGGGACAAAACTATCTCCAAAACTCCTCAACAAGATAATTAACCTCTGACAGCTCAGTCTGCTTGCTTATAAATTGGGCAAAGTCCCACCACCCCACAGGACTGCTGTCTAGTCTTACTGCCTGTGCAGCATGAATTCTAAAAGCACAAGCTATTATTACCATTCTCATCACCATGCTCTTCATTCCCCTCAAGTTGGGAAAGACTCTTAAAGATGTGAGATTTACAAGAAAAAAATTACAGGAACCTAAAGCAAATGAAAACAAGAGTCAAGTCCCTTGCTTGGCCCAGAGGAGCCCAGGCTGAGTCCCGGAACGGCCCTTGGAGACAGCAGAGGCTCCACAGCTTGGCAGAGCTGGCAGAATGCAGGGCCATGAGCAACTTGAGACCCTGAGACGTGCAGGCAGGCTGTGACCACAGGGGCCACTCTATACACAAACACGCACACACACCCCTTGCAAGTGCCGGGCAGCTGAGTCAGAAGAACATGGCATCAGGAGACCTCTACTTGCTTCTGTGACTCCACCATGAACCATGAGACCATTAGCCCGACTCTTTCTGCCCCGTTTTTTCCATCCACTGGGTGAACCCAGTGCGCTCATCTGGGTGATTGCTGAAATGATTCATTTGCTAAGAGTCTTCCCTCAAAATGCTCCAGGGTGACTCCATCTACCATGGCGTGAAATCCAAACTCTCTGGGCGAGACCACGCAGCACCCTCCCCAGTCCGGCTGCAGCTGACGCCCCATCCCTTCCCCTGCTCCTTCCCACCAGCACCAAACTGGTCTATTTGTTTTCCCCAAACAGGGTTTCCATCCCTCTGACCTTTTCTGGAAACGGTGGAGACTATTTTTCAGGGTGTCTCTTTCCAGTGAACTGAGTCCTACCCATTGCTCAAATACTACCTTTCTGCCGCAGGCACCGTGTGGATTCCTGCCCTGCTGGAGCTGAAATAATTAGATCAGGCTAGCGACGTCAGATGGTTGCATAAATAACCACTGAAGGAGTACAATGCTAGGAGAGCTGAGACGGGGAGAGGGAGGTGGGGCAGGCCAGCCCAGTGAAGGCCTGGAGGGGTTGGCCAGGCTGACAGGAAGGTGGTCAAGGGGAGAGTCCCAGCTCCCACCAGCCCCTGGGAAGGCCCTGTGTGGACACAGCTTGTAACAGGTATTCGCTGCGCACTTGAGATGCGTATTCATTTCTGTATTCATAAAGGTAAATGTTATACAAATTAAAACTGCAAGACTTGATTATCCTAGTTGGAAATGAGAAGAGATTCCCTCCCTAACAACTTTTAGGATTTCTTCCTCAGTCCTCTTCAAATGCATGTCAGTCTTTTAAATGGCTAAATAAACCTCTTGGCAGTTTTACAACCCAAGAAAATTTCAAAACCTGGGACCCACCTCTGAAATGTAATCAAGGAAAATAATGCCCCATTTCCCAGTGTCCTGGGAGGAGATGGGCCTACCTTGTCATCTGACTCCACACTGTAACTCACCTGAAGCAATGGGTTATGCTGTGGTCTGAATGTTTGTCTTCACTCCAAATTCATGGTTGAAACCCTAACCCCCAAGGTGATGGTTTTAGGAGGTGGAGCTTCTGGGAGTGATGAAGTCATGGCAGCAGAGAGCTCATGACAGGGGTTAATTCGCTTACAGAGAGACCTCAGAGAATTCCCTCTACCTTCTACCATGTGAGGACACAGCAGGCAGACCCTCAGCAGACACCAAATTTGCTGGTGCCTTCATCTTGGACTTCACAGCCCCAGAAAGAAAGAAATTTCTATTATTTATAAGTCCCATTTTAGGATATTTTGTTATAGCAGACTCATAGACTGAGACAGGTTGTGTCCTCAAAGCTCTATAGAAGGATGAGATTTCTTTCTGTCTCTGCAGTTATTTTAGCTCATCTCCTTCTGGTTTAAGGCTTATTCAAGTAACAGAACTGTTTTCTTCCTCTTTTCTTTCTCTTCTACCTTTGTGGAGAGGTTTTCCAGGATGGGGGTTTTGTTTTTAACATTTCCCCAACATATTTTATAATTCAAGAAAGATGTCAAAATATGCTTTTGATAATTAACAGTATGTTAGCCCAAAGTAAAGGGGAAAAATGACTCCTAGATGATTTTATTTTTGTTATAACACAAAAAAAGGCTCCGATCTTGCTCCGTGATATATATATATATATATACACACACACACACACACACACACACACATATATAAAGTATACAGAGTAAGCTGGGCACGGGGTTTCATGCCTGTAATCCCAACACTTTGAGGCCAAGGCACGTGAATCATTTGAGGTCGGGAGTTCAAGACCAGCCTGGCTGACATGCTGAAACCCCGTCTCTACTAAAAACACAAAAATTAGCTGGGCATGGTGGTACATGACTGTAATCCCAGCAACTCCGGAGGCTGAGGCAAGAGAATTGCTGCCAGGAGGCGGCAATTGGACCTGGGAGGCGGAGGCTGCAGTGAGCCGAGATTGCACCACAGCACTCCAGCCTGGGCAACAGAGAGAGACTCCGTCTCAAAAAAAGAAAAACAAAAGTATACAGAGTAAATGTAACTTTTTACTTTTAGTCTAGGACTGAACAATACTAAGTTTTAAAAAATCTACAATATGTAATTTTTGTACACTATATTTGTAAATATACAAAATATTAGGAAAAGTGGTAATTTTGGCAAATGTAGGAGGCAGTACATCTTATGGTTAAGAGGTTAAGAGAGCAACTACTTGGCAGTCAGGTAAACCAAGCCTCACCCCAGTTCCAATACCTCCTCAATGTGTACTCTTAGGAAAGTTAATCACTATCGAGCCCTGTGACATCTCACATGTGAGGTACTGTGTTAAGCAGCATTTTATGGGCATTATTTACTAAAATTGTTATAAGATCCAAATTATCATTCCCATCACAAAGATGAAGAAACCAGGACTCAAAGCAATAAAGTGACTTGCCCAGTGCTGAAAAGCTAAGAAGTGGTAGGGCCCAGGAATGACTGACCAGCAGGACCCTGGGACCCCGCAAAGGCCTCTTGATGTCACCAAACCCAGCAAAAAACATCTAGTTTCAAAACAGGTCATTTTACAGCGCTCCACATTGCCTCCCTGAGTTTCCTCACCTGTAAAATGAGCGTAAGTGCTCAGAATCACTGTAAGAACCAAACGAGGTTGTAACATCTCCCACAATGCCTGCAATGTAGGAATTATTCTACATCCCTAAGTTGCCACTTAAGAGATAAAATAAATCAGCAAAAGGCTTTCAAAAATAAATGGTCCTTTGAAAATTCAAATCCAGGAAACTCACCAAGCATGGCCAAGGTGCGCATGATCATATACAGTTGGTCCGCAGCTATACCTGAAAAAAAAAGTTAAAATCCATCGTGTGGAACATACTTGCAAGAAAGGACTTTCGATTCTCAGTTATAATTATCATATAATTTTTAAAGTAACCACTTCTGGGGGATGAATAGCCGGGGTTTATCATACTTGCTCAATTCATACCCAAACCTGCAAATGCACTGCGCATTCCCAGCTTCTAGAACGACGCCCTCCCCGAGCCCAGATCCCGTTCAGCTGTGGGAAGTCTCCACCACGCTCGGCCCCCGCCCGTGCCCCAGTCCCGCGCGGCCCACCAGGAGGCGGCTTCGGCGTGCGCCACGATTAGGGGTTCCTTCCTTCCAGTGAGGCTGTTGTACACCTGCACGCCCGTCTCCCGGCCCGTGGGCTGCAGCCAGGCCCGCCCGCGTCCCCCGCTCGCCGCCCGGCCCGCAGGCCAGTGCCACCCAGCCGGCCCGAGGCCCAGCGCGGCCTGGAGCAGCGGGGCGCCCAGGCCTCGGCCGCGCGTCCTCAGCATGTCAGCGGCCAGAGCCTACGACTGGGCGGAGACAGGAGCCACACCGGGGACGCGGCCCGGCGCGCAAAAGCAGCACGGCCCCGCCCCTCCCACGCCCTTGGGGCCACGCCCACTCCCGGAAGCGGTCCTCAGGTAGCGCCTGCCTCTGGCCTGGCTCGAGTCGCCCCCCGCCAGGGTGGAGAACCTGGGCCCGAAGGGGTGGGGGCGGGGAAGGCCAGGGGTGGAGGGAGGAAGGCGGTGCCGCGCCGGGAGGCCGTAGGAAGAGGCGGGACCGTGCCGATCTCCTCTCCTTATTAGCCCAGGTCCTGCGAGGCGTCCGTGTGCGCCCCGTACCAGCCTGGACCTGTGTGCGCGGCGCCCGGGGGAGCGTTTACAGTGCAAGCTTCTGCTGCTGGGCCCCGGCCTGTTAGCGAAGCACGTGTGCGTCCCAGCACACCCCAGGTCAACACGCTAATACACAGTGTCCACCCCATAACACACATGAGCACCCCAATACAGTGTGCACCCCAGCACACACATCTGCACCCCAATACAGTGTGCACCCCAGCACACACATCTGCACCCCAATACAGTGTGCACCTCAGCACACATCTGCACCCCAATATAGTGTGCACTACAGCACACCGTCAGCATCCCAACACAGTGCACCCCGATACACAGTGTGCAACCCAGCACAGTCTGCATCCCAATAAGTGTGCACCCCAATACACAGGATGCACCCCAGCACACACCACGTCAGCATTCCAATACAGTGTGCACCCCAGCACACACCATGTCTGTACCCCAGTACAGTATACACACCAATACACAGTGTGTACCCCCAATAAACTGTGCACTCTAACACCATGTCTGCACCCCAGTACAGTGTGCACCCCAACACAGCACGTGTGCATCCCAGCAAACACATCTGCATCCCAATGCAATGTGCACCTCAATATAGTGTGGGCCCCCACACATCTACACCCCAATACAGTGTGCACCCCAATACACAGTGTGTACTCCAACACACACTACACCTGCACTCCAATACACAGCGTGTATCCCCCCCACCACACATACCATGTCTGCACTTCAACACTCTCCTGGGGTCTCTGGATGAAATGACCAAAGCTAGGAAACTACATTCATCAGATATGTATAGCAGAAATGTCTGCTTGTGATTCATCTTAAGGTTAAAAGTTCCATGATCAGGTATCTTGAGAACAAAAACATTCTGAAAGTTACTCACATTACCTTGACAAATGTGCCTCTATTGGGCACGGCGCAGTGGCTCAAGCCTGTAATCCCAGCACTTTGGGAGGCTGAGGTGGGCGGATCACCTGAGGTCAGGAGTTCGAGACCAGCCTGACCAATACAGGGAAACCCCTGTCTCTACTAAAAACACACAAATTAGCCGGGCGTGGTGGCGTGCACCTGTAGTCCCAGCTACTGGGGAGGCTGAGACAGGAGAATCGCTTGAAGCCGGGAGGTGGAGGTTGCAGTGAGCTGAGATCACGCCACTGTACTCCAACCTGGGCAACAGAGGGAGACTCCATCTGAAAAAAAAAAAAAAAAAAAAGGTGCCTCTATGGGTGTCTTGCAATACAATGTCTCAAAAAAAGAAAAAGTCCCCTTTGCTTTTCCAGTTGTCAAAACAGGAGAGGTTCCTGCTTTTTATTGTTGTTGTTGTTGTTGTTGTTTGTTTTTTTTTAGTTTGCTTTGGTGTTTTATCGAAAAGCAAAGGTTTAAGTAGAGACAAACAAGTATGTAACTAGAGTAGTTTCTCAATATCCTGGAGTCCAACTCTGCAATTCTGTTTCAAGCTAACTGTAGTCTAATGTAATCTATGGTCTAATTTAACAAGGTTAAAATGTTAGAATTAAGAGACCATATTGTCTACATCAATGTTAACCACTCATCTTACCTAACTACTCTAAATTCTCCTGAATATTATCACTTCTTTACTGCTTTGTTATTTTGTAACTTTCTAGTGCTGTGTGTATATTTATCTCCCTGAGTATCTTAAATTGTACATTATTTTGAACTTCTCACTGTGCCCTGCACTAAGTTCAGAAAAGGACTTGGGTTTTATTTTGTTGTTGTTGTTGTTTTGTTTTGCTGTGGCTGGAAAAAAAATTTAAAAAGAAAGAAAAGGGCTTGTTGAATGTTGATGAATTAATCCCTTACACAAGGGATTACTTGAGCAGGTGGGAAGAAATCTGAATAGTAAAATACCTGATAAAGCTGATTCAGATATTAGATGTGCCAGTAAATAAAGCAAATTAACAAAAGCTCAGCTGCAATCTGTGAGAACGCATGGATTCAAGGAAATAACTGGAGCACAGATTCTGAAAGCAGCTTAGTAACACTGAAGATCAAATCTGCACATGAATCTGGACATCTGGCATATTTCAATTGTTCATAGATCATAATTTTTAAATTAACAATAGTATCTTCTGTCTTCATAAAATTCATGTAATGTTTTTAGCCCCTCACTGGCAGTGATTCTATTATGTTTTCTTTCCTTTTTGTTTTTTTGTTTTTTGAGACAGTCTTGCTCTGTCACCAAGGCTGGAGTGCAGTGGCCTGATCTGGGTTCACTGCAACGTCTGCCTCCTGGTTCAAGCAGTCCTCTTGCTTCAGCGTCCACAGTAGCTGAGATTACAAGCGTGCGCCACCCTGCCCAGCTAATTTTTGCATTTTTATTTTTATGTATTTATCTATTTATTTTTGAGATGGAGTCTCGCTCTGTCACCCAGGCTGGAGTGCAGTGGCGCGATCTCGGCTCACTGCAACCTCCACCTCCCAGGTTCAAACAATTCTCCCGCCTCAGACTCCCGAGTGGCTGGAATTACAGCGGCGTGCCACCACACTCGGCTAATTTTTGTATTTTTAGTAGAGACGGGGTTTCACCATGTTGGCCAGGCTGGTCTGGGACTCTGGAACTTCTTACCTCAAGTGATCCACCCACCTCAGCCTCCCAAAGTGGTGGGATTACCGGCCTAAGCCACCACACCTGGCCAATTGTGTTTTTTTTTTTTTTTTCTTGGAGTGCAATGGCGTGATCTCCTTGGTTCAAGCGATTCTCTTGCCTCTCTCTCACGCCTCCCAGGTTCAAGCAGTTCTCCTGCCTCAGTCTCCCCAAGTAGCTGGGATTACAGGCATGTGCCACCACCCCCAGCTAATTTTGTACTTTTAGTACAGATGGGGTTTCTCCATGTTGGTCAGGCTGGTGTCGAACTCCCGACCCCAGGTGATCCACCCACCTTGGCCTCCCAAAGTGCTGGGATTATAGGCATGAGCCACCGTGCCCGGCAGCCAATTCTGTTTTCTTAAGGCTTTTGGGGATCATCAAAACACGGATAAACATAACTCAATACCTAATGATGGCTAGAAATGTGATCTTTTTGCATATTGAATATTTGCAAGTTGAATATTAAGGTAAAGTAAAATAGATTGCTAATGGTCTTCATTACCATACCTCCCAGCCTACATCTTTCTCCCGTGCTGGGTGCTTCCTGTCCTTGAACATCGGACTCCAAGTTCTTCAGTTTTGGGACTCGGACTGGCTCTCCTTGCTCCTCAGCTTGCAGACAGTCTATTGTGGGACCTTGTGATCATGTAAGTTAGTACTTAATAGACATATATATATATATCTCTCCATCCTATTAGTTCTGTCCCTCTAGAGAACCGTGACTAATACACCATATATACCTAAAAAGAGGATCCGTTTAATTGAAGTCACCTCCCTCTCCAATCTAGCTTAGAACAAGGAAGTGTATTAATGATTCCAAAATATCATTAATGCCATTTCTTAGTCTTTAATGACAACAATAACAAAATCGAGTTCTCGGTATTACATTTTATTTCAAGGCAAAATCTTGTAAATCTGAAGTAGAGTTGATTATGGTAGCATATGGTTTAGGGGTTTTCAAGTTTAAGATAAATGAGTTTGCATTTTTTTTAAGCACTTTGAAACTTAAAGAATTCTATGCTTGGCCAGGCGCGGGGGCTCACACCTGTAATCCCAGCACTTTGGGAGGCCAAGGTGGGTGGATCACCTGAGGTCAGGAGTTCGAGACCAGCCTGGCCAACATAACGAAACTGCATCTCTACTAAAAATACAAAAATTAGCTAGGCATGGTGTCGGGCACCTGTAATCCCAGCTACTCAGGAGGCTGAGGCAGGAGACTCGCTTGAACCTGGGAGGCAGAGGTTGCAGTGAGCCTGAGATCACGCCACTGCACTCCAGCCTGACAAGAGCAAGACTCCGTCTCAAAAAAAGAAAAAGAATTGTATGTTCATCTCTTATATCTGACTCTCATAGGTTTGAGCTTTTTCAATTAGTCTGGAAATATAATTTTAGAAAAAAATTTCATTTTTAAATGTTTATTTTTAAAATCCATTTGAAATTTCTGTTCTACAGAAAAGTTTTAGCATCCATTTTTGCAATACTCCACAGGAAACAAAACTGAAACAGACAAGATTCTACAACGTATCTTCAAAATTAAGCACCTTTCTTCAATGACATTTAAAATTCGTTATCACAGTTAATTATGTCTTATTGCTTGGTCTTCTAAGTTTGTTCCAAAGAAGACAAAATATTTTTTGACTTTTTATCCCAAGGGGTGGGCTAAAAGTTTTATGGAATGTAAAGCTCCAAAAAACTTTTTACTACTGTATCCCCAGCACACGGACCAGTAGTTGGCACATTGAATGCATAAGATGCCTTTTTGGTTTATATGTATGTGAAGAGAATACATAACGAGAGGAACAAATTCATTATTCAGATTGTACTGTATTGTGATTTTTTTTAAAAAAACGATAACCTAGGTTAAACTCCATCTTATCTTTGTAAGGGGTAAATTACTTCCAACTTTATTCTTGAGTTCAGATAAACACTATTCATTCTAGAGCCAATGATTACTAGGAATAGAAGAACCAGTCTATTTCTTACTATTGTACTTTTAAATTACTTATATGCTTTTAGAGGGAAAGGCGTAATTTTCCTTATTCAACTTTGTACTCCCTCTATACTCTCTATTCGACATAATGTTTGTTTCCACATAATGTTATCTTGTCGTAGTCTTTTTTTTTTCTTTTTTTCTGGAGATGAGTCTTGCTCTGTCGCTCAGGCTGAAGTGCAGTGGCGCAATCTCGGCTCACTGCCACCTCCACCTCCTGGGTTCAAGTGATTCTCCTGTCTCAGCCTCCAGAATAGCTAGGACTACAGGCACGCGCCACCATGCCCTGCTAATTTTTTTGTATTTTTAGTAGAGACAGGGTTTCACCATGTTGCCCAAGCTGGTCCCGAACTCCTGAGCTCAGGTAATCCACACCCCGGCCTCCCAAACTGGTAGGATTACAGGCGTGAGCCACCGCGTCCGGCCAAGTGTTACAGTCTTTAGTGCAGACCAAGTAGTGGCCAATAAATCTTGTAGAAACGAAAGTACTCATTTGCTTTTAACTGGGCCAAGACTAGAATAGCGTGATCTGTAAGTAAAATAACAGCCATTTCCCCACATATCAAAGCAAAAGCTCTCCTGATGTGTAGGTGAGATGAAGGGGCTTAAAAGTGAAGATTAAACCCACTTCAAAGTGTAAAGAGTATCCATCCGTTTATCATTGCAGCAACGTTCCAACGTGAACAATCCGATTCCAAGTACAAAACAACTCAATTCAGTCTCTTTGCCGTACTCACATCCATAGCACAAAATACCCTGCAGGGCGCTTGAATGAGCACCACTGCAGTTAATAATCTACTCTATAAATACTGGACGAATCCAAATTTTTACTGGATTACACAGAATACTTTTTTTAAAAAATGCAAATAGTTTTAGATGTCACAACAGGGTTCCATCAAATACCACGTTTCCAAATCTTACCACGAGAATGTGTATCCATTTCAACTGCAGTTATTTTGTGTCTAAAGCTGTGCACTCTGCTTTGCAACTGAAATCCGACCCTGTCCAAATTAAAAGGCTAAGAAAAAGTGGAGAAGCGCGCTGGCGTGGAGTTGACACAGAAACACTGCAAGGGCTGGGGACAGGGCTTACTTAGGTTCGTGGAATACACAGGCAGCACCACCAACCCGGCTCTCCGGAAAAGAGAAAGTCCGGTGAGAAAGGTGAAAAATGACAAGGCACCGTTCTCCGACTTGGTGAAAAACACCCAATGCAAACAGACCAGGGTTCAGAGCGGAAGAAAACTAGCGAAAACCAGGCAGCCAAGCGTGGCGAGCACAGCTCTCGGGTCCACCCCGGAGTGGACCCGCGGCGACTGCAGCCGTGCGGAGGCGGAAGCCGAGGCCGAGGCCGAGGCCGCTTAGGAACCGCAGCGCTGGCGGGCAGCGCACAAAGACGCGAGGCCACGCCCAGGAGGGGCCGGCCCTTTGACCGGAAGGGGGCGGGGCGGCGCGCGGGGCCGGTCGCCTAGGCAACGGGCTCGCGTGGCGTCCGGGCTTCTCAGAAAGCCCAAAATCCGGGAGCTTCGGGAGGGCAGAGAGGCGATGGGGATGGGGTGCGGGGAGGGGCGGCTGGGGAGCCGAATGGCCTCAGGACGCCGGCCGACCGGATGTCTGCATTCTGTTGGCGGCCTTTCCAAATGTGGGGAGCAGCCTCCGAGAGCGGTGTTCGTGGCACAGGGCGGGAAGAGATAAGGGGTAGGGAAGGCGCCCCTCGGGCCTATCCACCTCTTATGGGGCTCGGCACTAGGAAGCAGCTTCCCTCTTGTGCCCCTTTGTCTCCAAGCCGTTCCAAACTGAGTACCGGGAGGCGACACAAAGGGAGGGCGGTGACGGATGGCGCAGGCGCGGGAGCCGCCTAGGCTGCTGGGAGTGGTGGTCCCGCCGAGGAATTGGTAGGTCTCCCGCGCACTCCGCGGCCTCAGCTCGGAGGACACCGAGAGGGTGCCAGTGCGCATGCGCCGCCACTTCCGCCCGTGCCCGGCCCTCCTTTTCCTTCCGCCTCCCGGAGGACTTGGGTTTCTAGTAGTAAGAGTCCGGGGGGCATTACTCACGGTCTCCCCGCCTCCTCTTCATCTTGATTGGGCTGTCAAAGTGAGGTTGGCAAGTGGATTGGCTACTGTGGTTGCCAGTTCTGTTTCGGGCCATACTTATACCGCGCTGTGGGGCGGGGACGAAGAGAGTCAGGGGCTGAGGAGCGGGTTCTGTTAGTCGCTGCGTGCCATGGTCTCGGAGGCTGCTGTCCCGCGGCCCGTTAGGTCCTGGTCGGGTTTTCAGCGAAACAGGCAGCTCCCCTGCGTTTCCCGGCGGGCGTGCTGCGCCACCCAACGGGCTCTGCTTCCAAGTGCCAAAAACTCCTAGTAAAGTTTGCGCCTCGCCCGCCGTCCCCGCCCCAGCGGCCCTGACGCTGTCCCCTCCGCGACCCTCGCCCCTGGCAGAAGTGACAGGCAAGGCCACGCCCCCTCGCGGGCCGGCCTCGGGCCCGCAGCCCCCGGGGCCCGGGACGGTGAGGGGCGTGAATGCGGCGGGGGGGCGGGGCCGTCGCCGGGGGAGGGGGCCGAGGCGCATGCGCGCTGCGCAGCGGGGCTGAATGTTTCCCAAGTGTTTGAAACTGGTATTTGGGTTTTCCACGTTGGACAAGTGCGGCTCGGCGGCCGGCGGAGCGCACCCCTTCCTGCTGCCCGCTCCGCTCCTCTCTTCTCCTCAGCCCAGTGGGCGGGTGGGCGGCGGCGGCCGCGGCGCTGGGCCCTCTCCCGCCGGTGTGTGCGCGCTCGTACGCGCGGCCCCCAGCGCCAGCCCCGCCGCCTGAGAGGGGGCCTGCGCCGCCGGCCGGGGCGTGCGCCCGGGAGCCACCGCCACCGCGGCCCGCGCCCCCAGGCGCTGGGGTACCCGCGGACCCGGAGGCGGCGGACGGGCTCGGCAGATGTAGCCGCCGGTCCGGAGCAGGAGCCGGCGGGGGGCACCGGGAGAGCGAGGGCTTTGCATTTTGCAGTGCTATTTTTTCAGGGGGGCGGGGGGTGGAGGAAGCGGAAAGCCGCGCCGAGTCGCCGGGGACCTCCGGGGTGAACCATGTTGAGTCCTGCCAACGGGGAGCAGCTCCACCTGGTGAACTATGTGGAGGACTACCTGGACTCCATCGAGTCCTTGCCTTTCGACTTGCAGAGAAATGTCTCGCTGATGCGGGAGATCGACGCGAAATACCAAGGTACGGCCGGGTGATGGATGGGCGGGGGCGGCCGCCTCCATCCCGGCGGGTCCGGGCGCGCCGCGGAGCCGGCCCGGTCCTGCCGTGGAGCGGAGGAAGCGGCCGGCTCCGCAGCGGCGGCCCTCGGCAGGGGCAGGAACAAAAGGTCTGGAGCGCCTTTGATTCGCCAAGGTCCTTGTGTGCAAAGCCCGGGACACGGAGGAGGAAGGAGGCGCGAGAGGTCTCGCTGCAAGGCTGCGCGACCAAAGCGCTCTTTGTAGTGAAGTGATGAGGCGGGTGCTGCGGGGGAGGGGGCGGCGGGTCCAAGCCGCGTCCTCTAGGAGGGGGTGCAGATTACGGCGCGAGATGGAGGGATGTGCCGGCGCCTGGGGCTGTAGGACGCCGAGATGTGGCTGCAGGAGGAGGGCGGCTGTGGGCCGGGGTTCCCGCGGACCCGGTGCCTCGGTCCGGAGCAACGCCGCTCCCCTGGCCCTTCTTCGCCGCCCCCCACCCAGTCCCCAATCCGAGTGTTACATAAAGTACCGGGTAGTACTCCGTTCGGGGTAGCTCGGTCGCCCCCGCCCAGTCCCCTCCGGCCCTCACTTGGCACTGGACACCGAGTAAGGGCCGACTGCGAGGGGCGACGCCGCCGGTTGTAGTTTGCGGAGGACGAGGGTTTTTCTCTGTGTGCCGTGGGGAAGGGAAGGGGAGGAGCGGAGGCGGGGAAGGCGCCCATCTGCGCAGCGCTGCGCTCGGGGGGGCGCGGGCAGATCGCTGGGTTGGAGAGGATTGTGGCAGATGAGAGGACCTGTGGGTCGTTCTCTGCAGACCTGGCCGCCCAGGGTGTCAGAGAGAGGTGGCGAGTTCGTGTCCGCCGGGAATTGTTGGCTGTTGGGGAAAGTTTTCTGCGAGGTCAGTCAAGGCTTTGGGGGCTCTGTTTTGAATGTGGATCACCACTCCGAGTTTACTAATGTTTACAAAGCTACGCAGTAGGGAAACGGAAGAGTAAGGTGGGGGCAAAAAAAATCCATCGCCATGCCCGAAAGCACCAGATACCCCTACCGGGAAGGCGCCCCTGCGCGCTCTATCCAAGACGTAGCTTCGCAGCTTCTTTTATAGGAATCTCATTAGCATATTGTGGAACGTCCCGCCTCAGCCTTCCGGTGGTTGGCTGTGACGTCCTTCGTGGAATGTCCTTATCATTCCCCTGCGGAACGATTGGTCGCTGAGGCGGATGAAGGCGGGTGTAGCGCAATAACTGGCATGGGTCTGTGTTTCCGCTGTCTTCTTTTTTCTTTTTCGGGGAGGAGCGGGGTGGAGTGTGGTTGATTTGAACGTCTTCGGGTCGCTCGGCCTCCAGCCTCGGATTGGGCCTTGTCGCTGCTGGGGCGGGCTGTGCTCTTCCGCCTTGCGGTGTGGTTGGTTCTCCTCCTGGCCTCCGCCCTCCAAATCGGCGATTCCCATATGCGGCGGCTCTCGGGGGGCGCGGCGAGTCTCCCGCTGGCCTCCTCCCCATTGGCTGGAGGGCCGGCTGGTGTCGCCCAGGCCCCTCTCCCCACTCAGCACTGCCACTTTTGGGCGCGGAGTTATGGCAGTAACGGGGACCCCAGGGCTGGGGGCTCGGGGCCGGGGCTGCAGTTCGGGCCGCCTCCCGCGACCCGCGAGACCGGCCCGCAGACAGTCCCAGGCCGCATCTTTGCTGACCCGAGGGAGGGGCCGCGCGTGGCCGGGGAAACGTGAGTGACTGGGGCTGCGTCCACGAGCGGGACCCTCGGCGCGGGAACTTTCCTGGAAGGTGCTATCCTCGGGGCGGGCGGGCTACGTGGAGTGACCCTGGGGCTCCGGACGGAAGGGAGGCAGGGGCTGAGACCATTCTGATCGTTCAACGATAGAAAAAAGCGCGGGGCGGGGTGCAGGGTCCCAGCCGTCAAGACAGCAAAGTTCACGGAGCCACTTTGTTCTCCTGTCGTTGCTGGGGAGAGCCTGGCTTGCTGCTTGCTTCAGGTTCACCTAGGATGATGAACTTTTTGGCTTCAGGAAAGATCACAGTCCCGCCCCTGGGGGAGTACTGGAGCCGTGCAACTGGTAGCGCTGAGAAGCGCGAGAATCTGTCGCAAGGGTCACAGCTCCTTGGACTTCGCTGTAAATGCTGAGCTCTGCCGCGTAGTTCTGAAAGACGAAGCTTGTTTTCACAGATCTACTCTACAGGAAGTCAGACGTCTTTTGCTTAGTAGGCATCGGTTGTCTGTTAATTCGTAAACATGGATTATAATTAGTTTATCGATTTAAAATGGTGTTTGAGATTGCTTGAATTATTTTTCAAACATTATTATAAAAATACCTACCCACCCCCTGGGAAGTCTGCTTCATAAAGAATTTCAGGGCAACCCTTACGTAAAATTAAAATACATTTAAAATAATTGGACAAACCAATTTCAATGTTGCTACAATCTCATTTAATCTGTAAATTCCATGTGTTGCTGCTTTCCATGGTAATGTTGGTGTGGAGTATGTTTGGAAGAAAGGTAGCAGTGTGTCTGAAGCTGAGTTGCTGGCATTCAAGGAGCAGAGTGTCTGGAAGGGTGGCTTCCTATTTCGCAGTGGTGGTGTTCCTGTCTATAAATATTTGTACTTAGTGGTTTTGTTGATAAAATACTTTGTTTGGGGTATCAAAGAACTATTAGGTAACAGAAATACTTCTTGGTAATTTTGCAATGGGATATCTGTTTCTCTTCCCCACAAATTAGGCTTCGTCTGGATGGAAGCTTGCTTGTGATGCCAAATAACCTCTATGTTATTAAATTTTAAATTTATATGATGGTTTTCTTTTCCATCAAATGACAATACTGTCTTTAGAACTTTGATTACTGATGAAAAGAAGTGATACCATTTTATAAGCCTAAATCCATTTAAAAATAAATGGTACACACTCATATTTTAACATCTATGATATAAATAAGTTGGATAAATTGGTATTACTTGGATACGTTGAACACAGCTATTTATTTTTATAATTAGTGACTATATGAGACTAGGGCATTCCTCCTGGTGGCAGGCAGCCTGCATTGTTCTTCTAGGAAATGTCTTCAGAGCTGTCTTTAGTTTGAGAATATACTCTGGAAAATAATACCATTTAGAGAAGCTTCAGCGTTGGCCCAACTTCTTATGTTTACTCTAGTGTTAGGTATATATCTTATAACTATTTGGAGATAAGATCTGGAAAGGGAGGGGGTACCATTTTAGACAATCCCTCCCACTCCCAGCCCCTCCCCATACACTTCCTAGTTTACAAGTAGTATTGTTGGCCTGGCACGGTGGCTCACTCCTGTAATCCCAGCACTTTCCGAAGCTGAGGCAGGCGTATCACGAGGTCTAGAGTTGGGAGACCAGCCTGACCAACATGGAGAAAACCCTGTCTACTGAAAATACTAAATTAGCTGGGCGTGGTGTTGCATGCCTGTAATCCCAGCTACTCGGGAGGCTGAGGCAGGAGAATCGCTTGAACCTGGGAGGCCAAGGTTGCAGTGAGCCGAGATCGCGCCATTGCACTCCAGCCTGGGCAACAAGAGCAAAACTCCGTCTCAACAAAAAAAGTAGTATTGTTGCCTTGTTTAAAGAGACTGCAAAAAGGTTTTAGGAGAATAATCTGGTACTGTTTAATTTAATGGTTATTGTTTGAGGAAAAAGAGCTCTGGAATTTCTTTGTGAGTAGCCTTTTGGCAAGACTGTTTACTGCCCTTATTTCAACTAGATTTTTTTAACAGCTTTTGTTTCTTGAGAAATTGCCTAATTACACTTTAAAATCATATGCACTGTCCTCTAACATGCCCAAGAAGTTTTATATTTAAATACTGAAGAGGTTTTCTTTTCTTTTTGATGGCATTTTAAAGTCCATTGACTTTAATAGATGTGAAGATGTTTTTGTTTAAGCAGTAGATGCAAAAGTAAAATCTACCAGCTTTGTTTTAAAGCAAGGCTAGTACATTCACTGCAGTTAAAAAATAATAATAATGACCCATTACAGTTGTGCTCCTGTAGTCCTAGCTACTCAGGAGGCTGAGGTGGGAGGGTCACTTGAGCCTGGGAGGTCGAGGCTGCAGTGAGCCGAGATTGCACCACTGCACTCCAGCCTGGGCGACAGAGACAGACCTTGCCCCTAAAATAATAATAACAACAGTCATAATAATAATAAAGCAAAGCTAGGTTTTTCTGGATTATTGTGGCAGAACTGTTCTTGCTTTCACTAATACAGAGGAATAACATGCTAGAATAAATGTGGGGACTGAAACTGAGGACCTAACACAAAGTAGCCTGGACCTTTGCTGTTAACCCGGTTCTTTAAATCATAGAGAGCTATTATATAAATTTATACACGTTCTCTAATTTAACAGGATATTCTAGATGTTGGTATGTTAAAATAGAGACCTTTTTTATTTGAAATATTCAAATAATTTATATTTTATCGTTTGTATATTGTGTATAATGTAAT